ATGGAAATCACCAGTCAAAAATTCTTTGTAACTTCCGGGATTGGCGATGGACAATGCAACCTTTGGTTCAAAAACAATGTTGAGGTCCAGCCTCTTTTGCCCCAGGTGACGTAGCTCCGAAACCTGAAATTGGATGGGACTCGGATTTCTGATAAATGTATTTCCGATGAATCGGGGTGCATTTAAATACTGAATCCGGATAGTTCCAGGATCTCTCATACTAGGGTGTCGTCTAAGTTTTTATGAGGGCTAAAATCCATTCGGATTCGACAGACTAGAAGGAGCTGATAACAGGTGGTGAGGACAACCTGGTGAAATACTGTGAAGATCTTTCTTCGATTCATTAGGTCTGTGCGTTGTGGTAAATCGACTTTTGCAGTACTCCACACAGCCTGTATAGTATGAATTGGGTTCCAGATCTGTGGATCAGCCACTGAGCACGTGGTATCACTGCTTAGATGGGATTTTCCATCTGATACCAATGTAACAGTCAAATATTTTGACTCAGCAGTCCACTAGTGCATGTTATGAGGCCTCATTATGCTAACAGATATCGTACCGTTCTGGAGAACTGCGCCAGGATCCAGCTACAATGAATACCCGTCTGCCCATTCGGGGATATCATCTCAGATTGACCATAGATTATCGTCTGGGGAAAATCGCCTTGTCTGCCACATGCCGTATGGGCAATTGTGCTCGAAACTGTGAAGCAGCATTTTGTCATCAACGTCCTGACACATCTGAAATGAACCGCAATTCGAAAGCATAAGGAGCGGCCAATCCTGGTAACTACAATAATAACATGGAACGAGGATGTATTTTTATGGACTGATCAGTGGTACCAGGCGAAAGGTCCCATCCATGCAGTCATAACAAGATGCTCAACGGCTGATCCAAAACTCACTGAAATGGCAGCTTTTGGACCTCACGCCTGTCATTTCGCCACTCCCTTTCCACACCGCTGCTTGCTTCCTAAGCTGCTGTTTCCTGAAAAATCCTGTTAATTGTTTAGCATAATCCGATTGAGCATCCTACAGATATAGGGAAAAAGATGGATCTGGCAGTAATTTTGTAGAATGCATTCATGTACATCAAAACATTTTTCGACTCTTTCCAATTGCTGGTTTTCTTTTAGCCAGGCATCGCTCGAAATCTCCTTCAGCTCCTTGAACTTTCCAGAGCGCTTTCCCTTTTTTTGAGTTCCACAAGTTCGGCGATAATGTGATCACTGCCGATAACCTTTCCGCTTTTCAGATAAAAGGCTGCGTACCTTATCTCACTGAAAGGTAGCGAAGGAATTTGCTATTCGGTGGCGTAAATTACAGGTACTGGAATGCTGGCGTGTGACGCAAACAAACTGTTCAGAATTTCCTGCACATTTTCTCCATTTCTATTCGACTCGTGATCCTGTGTCCATTTTCGTCTTTAAGCAGCACCGTCATGAGATAGTACAATAGCAATACTTTCCCACAGCATTCGCGCATGTGTGTGTGTGAGTGTTTGGTAGATGTTTGCGTGTAGGT